TTAGCTATGCCATCTGGCTCCAGAATTCTCATGGAATTCAGTCAAATTTTGGCTGGGGCTTCAGACATCTGAAGCCTTGACTAGGGCTAGAGGGTCCACTTCCAAGGTGGCTGCAGGTTGGTGGAGAGGAGGGTACCTCAGTTCCCCCTCCATGTGAGCCCCTTCCCAAGCTGTGTGAGCATCCACACTACATGCTGGCTGGCTTTACCCAGCGACCAAGGAAGCAGCAGCAATGTCTGTTATGATCTAGCCTCAGAAGTCACATATGATCACTTCTGCAGACTCTCTTGGTCACAGGAGTCAGCCCTTATTCACCGTGGAAGGGGACTACACAAGAATGTGAATACTAGGAGACAGGAATCATTAGGCGTGATCTTGGGAACGGGCTACCATATCCCATAAAACTAGAGAATGCACATTGGGATGCTATTGCAGAAAAATGTCCCCAAAAATATGCCTGGCAACAGCAGCCAAAGCAAAGGAAAAGGGCCCCTGCCTTATTTGCATCTTCCAAATATAACTGCAGAGGAGTCTGCAAATACAGTTTGCTTTGTGTCTCTGTTTTAGCTTTTCCATTTCTGCAATACAGGAAAGCACATTAAAAGAGGGATTAAAATAGATGATAAATACCAGTCCATCAAATTCTCCACAAAGACCATGACTTTGTGGTACTTCAGCACCCATACAGACATTTATAGAATATTCTGTAGCAGAGAATTGGAGCAGCGATGGTGGGGAATGAAGCTGAGTCAGGGTCGCTGCTTTGCTGAGTGGATACAGCAGAAAGACAATAGTGCTTCAGAGGGCAGAGTGCTAACTTTTTGAAAAGGAAAACTGTCATAGATTTAAACTGATATTTTCGATTCAAATTTAACATTAAATGATTCTCATTCTCATTTGTATGTATATATACTTTTAAACACAGCATTAATAATGCCAATCTTACAACTAACCATAAAACTAATCAATGCGATTTACTAAGATTTCTTTGTGGTTCTAATTCTCATTGGAATATAACCCATGAAAGAAATTCATCAGCCCGGCCGGCGTGGCTCAGTTGGTTGAGCCTTGTCCCATGCCCAGAGAGGTCACTGGTTCTATTCCCTGTCAGGGCACAAGCTCGGGTTTGGAGACCCATCCCAGGTACGGGTCCTGCAGAGGCGGCCAATTTATGTTTTTCTCTCATTGATATTTCTACCTCTCTCTCCCTCTCCCTTCCTTTCTCTCTAAAATCATATTCATTAAAAATGTTGTTTTCTAGAGTCATTTGGATAATTCTTTTCCCTATATGGTTTCACCAATGTGAAATTCATACCATGTTCTAATCATCTCTCTCATCACTGAAAGTTTTAGCTCCCTGATTTCCTCTTCACCCAGCAAGACTGTAGTTAAAGTCACCCAGGAAGTGACAGGATTTGAATTCAGGCAGTCTGGTGCCAATGCATGCCTTCACACACTGCACTAACCCCTTGACTAGTCCAGTGATCATAGATCTGGGCTTCTTACTGGATTTGAGTGGGGATGGGGTGGGGGGAGGGTTGAGCCAGATTATGAAGGCTCACATATTTATGGAGGTAAATATGGATGTGAGTTAATGGGATTAATCTGGCCACAGAGTCTCTTATTAGAGTCTACTGTGAGTGCTTAGCTTGCATCCTGGACGATGTGGCTATTGGGAGAGGCATATTTCTTACCAGGAACAGGCGGCTCTGTGAAGGCTTCTGAGCCGCTGTCTTCTCTTGTTTTCCTCATCTCTTCTCTTGGGCGATTCTTACACATTCTACAGACGTTAGCCTAAGTGACACTTCTAGGAAAAGCTTTCCCTAACCTCTCCTGCATTATGTTGGGAAACCCTGTTATGTACTCCTATGTCATCCCATCTTTCAGGATTTTTCTCACTCACTAGGATGCAAATTCAGTGAGAAAAAGGTCTGTCTTGCTCACGTTGTGTCTCAGAGCTTAGCATAGTGCCTGGCCAATAATAGGCTCTCAATAAATATTTGTTAAATCAGTAAAACATATATCAATAAATTATTAATTAAAAGTGAAAGCTCAGAATGGCTTTGTCTGCCCTGCCTTTACCATCTTTTGTTTGTCTGTTAGGGCAAAATCTAAACTAACACCCAAAGTCTAAAAACTTGAAATGAAAAACTGGCTTTCTAAAATCTAAAATTTAAACAAAAATAAATAAATCAAATCTAAAATTTAGGTCTTAGACAAATGTGAAAATCCACAAGAAACGCTAATATATTTTAAATCTTTAACTTTAGGAGAGAACTACTAATCATCAAAATACATTTTATTGATTTTTTACAGAGAGGAAGAGGGTGGGATAGAGAGCTAGAAACATCTATGAGAGAGAAACATCGATCAGCTGCCTCCTGCACGCCCCCTACTGGGGGTGTGCCCACAGCCAAGGTACATGCCCTTGACCGGAATCGAACCTGGGACCCTTGAGTCCGCAGGCCGACGCTCTATCCACTGAGCCAAACCAGTCAGGGCAGGAGGCACTTCTTAGGGTAGAAAAAGATGTTGCCATTAGCCACACGTTGTTAGACATTTGTGAAAGTGACAGCTTCCAGCCAAATGGTCTGACCCCGTTATGTCAGGCCATATTTGGCTCTACTAGTATATAAAATGTTTTTTTTCTACTCAATTCTTGGAGAAAGAAAAATCTTCAGGCTTTTTTGAGGCCATCTACTCAGAAATAGAGCCTACCAGGAAGTTAAGCAGTTACATGCAAGGTTCTTTTATTTTTGTTTTATCTTTTCAAATAGGTAATATATGCACACGGTTCAAAAGTCAAATGATATAAAATGGTATACACTTAGAAGTTTCCTTTCCACTCCTATCCCTAACCACCATAGTCCCCATACCCTTCCACATCATGGATAACACTTTTATTATTTAATAATCCTATATAATAAAAGGCTAAGTGACAGTTACGGCAGGATGACTGGAATGACTGGTCGCTATGATGTGCACTGAGCAGGCGGCCAGGTGAGCAGTTAGGGGTGATTAGGCAGGTAGGCAGGTGAGAGGTTAGAAGCCAGTGGTCCTGGATTGTGAGAGGGATGTCTGACTGCCGGTTTAGGCCCAATCCTGGATGGGGCCTAAACTGGCAGTTGGACATCCCCCAAGGGCTCCTGGATTGTGGGAGGGATGTCTGACTGCTGGTTTAGGCCCGATCCTGGATGGGGCCTAAACTGGCAGTTGGACATCCCCCAAGGGCTCCTGGATTACGAGAGGGCACAGGCCTGGCTGAGAGACACCCCCCATGCATGAATTTTGTGCACCAAGCCTCTAGTAAAATAATTTTAAGTGAAATACATATTTTCTCAATATGTATTTATGCAACTACCTCCCTCCCAACCCCACCCCTAGTGTTCTTCCAGACTCGCCCTTACTACCCATCTAACGAGGAGTCCCAGGAGCCAACTCCTCTACTGGACTGCAACTCAAGTATCAGGACCCAAGTTTCCCTTCCCAAATAACCCTCCACCCGCTTCTAGGACCCGCTTGGCTTCTGTCCAGGAGCCTCCTCTTCCTTCTTGAAGGTTGTGCACAAAACCTGGGTTGGAGAGACCACCCCCAGAAGGCAGATTGGCACAAGTGGGTGGAGCTTGGACAGGCAGGTGTGGGCGTAGGGGAGGGAGGGGCGCTGGTAGCATGGATACCAGGCCCCAGGCAGAGGCACGGAACCTGGGTGGGAAGAAGAGGGCTGGTTTGTGGCTCCAATTTGTGCGCTTGCCTCTCTCCTCCTCCTCCTCTCCCCTAAAATAAGGTGCCAGCCTGGCTTTACATACCTACCGTATGTTCACAGCCTACGATAGTTCTATCTGTAAACATGCTTCTCTGCACCTCCTCTCAACTACTTATGGTTTCCCCAGATATTCTGGACGTTTCTATAACCTCCATGACTTTCCACACGATGCCGTCCCAAACCTTTCTCCCTTTTCTTCACCTGATGAAATTCTTCTACCAACCAACCAGTTGGTATACCAGCTCCTGTGTTAGTGACCACTGCAAATCCTCTCTACCCTCCAACTCTCACCCCCAGGCAGAGTTAGCTGCTCTGCATGTGTGTGCAGAGGTTGAACAGGAGGTTACTCACTGGGATCTCATAACACTCCCTGTGGAAACACACCATACTGTATGTAATTGCTTTTTGCCCCTAGACTAGACTGTGTGGAAGCTCTTCCAGGGCAGAAAACATAGTTCTTCATGCTTATCCCAGTGCCTGCCCCCAGAGCCTGGCACTCAGTGGACAGCCAACAAATCTTTCAGTGTGGTAGTGTCATCAGAATCCCAGCTCTCCCCAGGGACCACGTGGCTTTGGGCAAATTACTGAATCCGGATTTCCTACCAGTATTATTTTTTTAAAATAAAAATGAACATAATTACCTTCTTGAACGGCCCTAAGGATTAAATAAAACAACGGTCCCAAGTACTTCAGCATAATAATAAATAGTATGGGCTTGATCGAGGATAACCATGATTAAGTTAGCTCCTATATTCTGATCCTAGGTAACGTGTAAGAGGAAGTAAATAGTCCTTCCAAGCCAGTGACGTGGTTCCCCCAAATTTGTACTTAATGTTGCAATCTTAATAAAACTGTGGGAAAATCGTTTTTTTAAAAAAATGCCCCAGGTAAGGGTGAGGCTTGAAAAATTGTTTATTAAAAAGGTACCAAGGGCCCTAGCTGGTTGTTCAGTGGTTAGAACGCTAGCCCTCAGATTGTAGGATCACAGGTTAGATTCTGATCAAGGGCACATACCTTGGTTTGCAGGCTTGATCCCTGGCCCTGGTGGGGAGTGGGGCGATTGTGGAGGCAACCTCTGTCTCTCCCCCTCCCTCCCTTCCACTCTCTCTAAAACAAAAACAAAAAACAAAAAACAAACAATGGGAAAAAATACCCTCAGATGAGGATTAACAAACAAAAAAAAGGTATCAAGTAATATTTTTTAATAAATTCAAAGCATTAGGAAACTCTTGGCACACTTGACACAAAATGTGTGAGAAAGTACTATATTACAATCTGTTTTGAGAGGTTTTCACAATAATGCTTATCAACTAAGAACGGGGAAATAAGGAAGCATAAAGTGTATTTTTTATAACTACCTCTTTAAGAACTTCATATAATTATAACTGTATTTGTTTTTATTACTACATACTTAGCTATTCCTATAACAAGGCTGTAGGTATACCTATAGATATTCAGTTTAGATGTTTTAAAAAAAGGAAAAGGTAATTGCAAAACATGCCAGTAAAAACAAAACAATTATTAAGTTGCTATATGTATCATATCTAATCTGCTATCACTTGTTTCCCCAAATTCAGGACTTTTGTCTATTAGTATATTGTACAATATTAAATGAATTTGCTGCTATTTGCATTCTTGTACCTCTAAATCCTGTTTTTATTAAGGAGAAAGAACCCCCCGCCGCCCCCCTGCAAAAAAAATGGAATGTGATCTAAGCTTGTAGGAAAAATCAAAGCGGGTTGATTACACTTATTTGAATTCTTTTTTTTTTTAATTCTCATCTGAGGATGTTTATTAATTTTTAGAGAGGAAGGGAAGGGGGGTGAGGGTGGAGGAACATCAGTCGATTGCCTCCTGTCCGAGTCCCACCCTGACCAAGGATTGAAATTGAAATTTAAGTATGTTATTACCTAAATTATCCTGACTGAGAACCAAACCCACATGGAGTGATGCCCTAAGCAAGTGTGCCACCAGCCAGGACCACTTTCTTATTTGAATCTTATTGCTCATACAGCCTGGTTATAATAAAGTTTGCTTAATGGTCTCAATCTTTGTCTTCCAAGCTAGGGCAAATAAAATAAAAAGGATACTGCTGTAAAGTTGGTGAAGCAAGCAATTGCTTGGCCTGTTACAAAATCAGACACTTTTTTTCTGCAAGTTGTCCATGCTCTTCGTATGCTATTAGCTGTTATAGCTTACAGTCTCAACTATGGGAGGCTGAAAACCCTATAGTTTGCAAACCTATTATCTATAAGGGCTAATTATACTAATTCTTTTCACAACCAGCACATCAGATTGTCCATTATAGAGTCACTGAAATCTATAGGAGCTGCTAATTTAAAATCTTTGGCTATATGAAGATAGCTAAGGTTGAGAATAAATATGTATTATGGGAGAGCTAGAGATACTAATAGCAAACTTAGGAAGATTTTAAAGGAGTAAGACAAAATCTGGTAAATCGTGTATTCTAAGTGGCAGGAATGAAAAGTAGTGTTAGTCTTACAAAGTTAATAATATCATAGTAAAAGTAGCTTTTCTTTGAGTTGCCTTTTGTGCTTAAAAAATAGAACAAGTTGAAAAACATCTTGACTCTGTTGAATTCTACACTGGAGGTGGGAGGAAGCCGAAGCTTCCTTATGGAAAGAGATGGCGGAGTTTGGCATTGAGTTCTTTCTCCTTGCTTAAAAGATCCAGGCTGTGCTTTTTGAAGGCTTCTGACTGCAGCCTGAGCTCCTCGTAGGCCTTCTGGATCCCAGCTATCCTGCGCTGGAGCTCCCGGACTCTCAAGTTGCTGTCCACAGCCACCGCCTCTTGCTCAAACCGCTCTAGCGCTTGTCGCCTGGCCACCTCTGCGGCCTCCAGCTTCTCCTCCAGCTGGCGGATGTCCGCTTGCTTGCTCTGAAGCACCTTGCCCCTGTCCATGGAGAGCTGGAGCAGCTCCTCCTTCTCCCGCGTGACCATCTGCAGCCTGGCCTGCAGCTCCTGGCTCAGGCTGCCGTGCGCCTGCTCGGCCTTCGCCATCTGCTCCACGGCCTGCTGGTGCTGCTGCTGGAGGCTCTGCAGCTGGCTGCGCAGCTGCTCTGTCTCCGCGGTGTGGGCGCTGGCCTGCTGGCTCTGCAGCTCCAGCAGCTCCTTCTCCCGGGCCTGTGCCCGGCAGGCATCCTGGGCACACCTCTGCTTCAGAGTCTCCAGCTCCTGGGCCAGGGCCTCGCTCTCGGCTGTGAGCTGCAGGACTTTGGCCTCGTGGTCCTTCAGAGCCTGGCTGAAGAGGCTGTTGTTCTCCAGCCTCAGCCTCTCGTTCTCCTCTCTCAGCTTGACGTTCTCGCTCTTGTATTGGTCCTTGAAGCGGATCATCTCCTCGTGGTTGGCCGCCAGGGTCATGAAGCGGTCCTCCAGCTTCCGGGCATGCTCGCTCTTGGCCTTCAGCTTCTCGGCCTCCAGCACCCCCTTCTCCTCCAGCTCGGTGTTGAGCATCTCCAGGATCTGGCAGCGCTCCAGGGCCTCGTCGGACCTCCGCTTCAGGATGCAGATGAGCTGGGACTGCTCGTGGATGCGGGAGCGAAGCATCGCCTTCTCGCTCTTCTCCTCCTCGGACAGTCCCCGGAGGTTGGCCAAGGCTTCCCTCAGGCCATCCATTTCCTTAAACCCCATCTCCTCTTCCTGGTTTTCCAGGGTTTTGTTTTGCGTATCTAAGGGCTCTTCAGAGGGTGGGGTGTCCATCCATCTCGAGAACCTGCTCATCCTCAGGCTCAGGTGCTCTCTCCACCGTGGGCTGACTCCGCACTCTTTCCCGTTGCCAGGGGCTCGGGGCACTGTCGGCAGCAGTTTCCCCCAGGATGGAGCCCCGCGGTTGGTGGGCGGGTCTTCAGAATGTGGTGACGTAACAGGGGACCAATCTGGCGGGGCTCTGCTTGCTTTTCTAACCAATCACAGCCCTCCGCTCACAGCCCCGGGTCTGGCCTCTGCGGCACAGGGAGCAGATGCCAACCCTCCGGGTTTGCAGCCAGTCAGGGCAAGAAACCCGACTCCACCTCATCTGGTTGAAGTAAACAAACCGAGCTGGCAGCGACTGCTCCTGCCTCCTCTCCCCACCTCAGTTGTCATGAGAATAGGTCACAGTTGGCTCCTTTGAAAACTGCAGTCCGTAAATACAAAGTAGCAGCGGTACGCCGAGAGCCGGGACGCTAAGTGCCTTGAGTTTGCATCTGTAGTGCTCGGCACAGTTCAGCAAAAGAGCAAACCCCAGTGAAATAAATACTCTTTTTTTTTTAATTGGGTATTCAGCACTCCCTGTTTTTACTCACTAGCAAAATAAGGTTACAGGAAGAAGCTTAATGAGTGACATAGAGATGGCAAACATCCAAACAGAAGACAAGGTACCAAATGAGGCTTACCGTCATATAACGTCCATTTCAGAGGAATTAAGTAGTTAACTGTAAGGAATAAAATAAAGCCCGACCGGTATGATAGCTCAGTGGCTGAGCGTCAACCTATGAACCAGGAGGTCATGATTCAATTCCCCGTCAGGGTACATGCCCAGGTTGCAGGCTCCATCCCCATTGTGGGGCGTGTGGGAGGAAACTGATCAATGATCCTCTCTCATCATTGATGTTCCTATGTCTCTCTCCCTTCTTCCCTGAAATCGATTTAAAAAAAAAAAGAATAAAATAAAAATCAAAGTATTAGAAGTGGAAACTAGAAAAAATAAAGGAAACCATACAAGTTGTGGGTCAGGAAGGACTTTCTCAGCTTAAACATTGTGTAAAAGAGGAGTAAGGAAAAGCTTACTTTGCCTTTGTTGGACAGTTGTATATAATTTTAAAAACTGGGCCCTAGCTGGTCTGGCTCAGTGGATAGAGCGTCAGCCTGCGGGCTGAAGTGTCCTGGGTTTGATTTCAGTCAAGGGCACATGCCTGGGTTGCGGGCTCAATCCCCAGTAGGGAGCATGCAGGAGGCAGCCGATCAATGATTTATGTTATGTCTCTCATCATTTATGTTTATCTCTCTCTCCCTCTTCCTACTTCTCTGAAATCAATAAAAAACATATTTAACAAATTGTGACCTAGGAGGTGTATAATTTAAAAAATGGACCTCTGAGGTCTATCCAGCCTCTCCTTCCTCTGAACTTGCCTGGCATTTTACCCCCTAGCCCTAACCAACTATGGAAAGTCCCCTAACCAGCAGCTCCCTGGCTCTGTCCGTAGGTGTTCTTTGCCTGGAATGCCTTTTCCCACCTTGTCCCGTGCTGCTCTAGTATTTCGCACAGTATTTAGTTCAGAATCACCTCCTCTGTGAAGCCTTTCCTGGCCCCAACATGTAAAATTGACCACGCACCTCTTTCAGTGCACTCACAGTAGCCTATTTGTACTGTTAATGGAACATGTCAGACCTTACTGCATTCACTGTTTACCTGCTTGCCTCCCTGTATTAAATGCTGAGATCATTAAGAGCAGGGACTGTGTCTGTTTTATCCTTGATGACTAAACCAGTGCCTGGCACACTGAGAAAACTCAGATAAATATGTGTTGAATGGATGTTAACTGCCTGGCCAGTGTGGTTCAGTGGTTGAGCATCAACCCATGAAACAAGAGATCACCAGTTAGATTCCTGGTCGGGGCACATGGAATGTGGGATTGTGGGCTCGATCCCCTGTAGGGGGCATGCAGGAAACAGCCAATTAAAATTATCCCTCTCTCCCTCTCCCTTCCTCTATGAAATCAATAAAAATATTTTTTAAAAATTAGACAAGAATGTGTTTTCTTCAAAGCTTTTCAATTACTTTTAAAAAGTAAAGCCTCGCCCTAACCGGTTTGGCTCAGTGGATAGAGTGTTGGCCTGTGGACTGTAGGGTCCCAGGTTCAATTCTGGTCAAGGGCGTGTACCTTGGTTATGGGCACATCCCCAGTGGGGAGTGTGCAGGAGGCAGCTGATTGATGTTTCTCTCTCATCGATGTTTCTGACTCTCTATCCCTCCCCTCTCCCTTCCTTTCTCTAAAAAAAATCAATAAAATATATATTTTTAAAGATAAAATAAAAAGTAAAGCCTCTAATAAAATAGCCAAAACTGCCCACTTAGAGGAAATCATGTCCAATGTGCAATAAATACTGGAGAAATATTAGCCTAGCAGAATTTCTTTAGCCTTGCTAGGGAATTTAGATTTTAGGATCCCTAGCATAAAGTATTTCATTTAAAATAAGAAGTCAGATTAATTTGACAATACATTTAAGTCATAATAATTTATTCTAAGGATTTTTACAAAATACTTTATGAAAATTATACATATATAGGAAATACAGTATAATTAAACAATTTACATTCTAATTAAAACTTTGTTGCAAAGCATGTCTGTGACCACTCTCATGCTGCTTTCATATAGTAGAGTTATAAGAAAAACAGAATCTTACATATGCAAGGCTTTTGTTTTATATATATTCTATTACAAAATACAGGCTTGAGACCTAGCTTAGGAGAAAATTAAGCCAAAAACTGAATTCCACTTATGGCCAGTGGGTGGCACCAAAGCACATCCGAGACTGTTTTAACACTGGGAAAAGGGAAAGCAGTTTCTCAAGACAGAAAGTACATGCAGTAAACTGGGTCTCGCCCTAATATGGAATTCCGTATTTTATAGAGATTACAGAGTAAATAGTTTTCTTATGGTCAAATTCTTTATCATCACCGATATTCTGCCTCCCCCCCCATAGGAATACCTCTGTCACTGTTTTCCACAACCTACGAATTTGCAATTGCTGTAAGGAATTTCATTGGTCAAGAGGCAGGCTTTGCTAACCGTAGCACAAGACTGGTGTAAAGCACATGATGGAAAATTAGAAAAATTTTCCTGTTAACACCCCACATTTAATAATTTTTGGGGGGGAGGGCAGCTTTTTTTTGAAGCAACAGGTAGATTTTCCTAGCTTTCTCCAATATCTTCGTTAACACTGGAGTCACACATACGTTATACATTTTGTTATTTTTTAAATACCGTGGGCCTATAACCAAAGAGGCACATGCAGGTTGACTTTAAAATGAGTGCCGACAGATAGGAGGTGTGGATCTCTGTCCACATGGTCAGATTTTCAAGATCAGATTCCACCTGGGTAGTAGTTTTCAGTGGAGGAGCCAATGGACTTGGGGCTCATTTGGAAATCCTGGCGATAGGCAGCACTCTGAGAGGCAGGGTTGCTTCAATCCAAGTGTTGGGGGAATTTACCATCTTTTCCCAGAGAGCAACTTCCTCTGAAGTAGAGTCCATCCAGTCCACTTCAGTTTCAGAACTTTTACCTGAAAAGAAGCTTTGAGTTAAAAAAGGAATAGCGCATCGGGGAGTGGGAGGGAACTTGTTATTCTTTTTTAAAAGATATTTTCTATTAATTTCACAGAGGAAGGGTGACGTAGACAGAGATAGAAACATCAATGATAAGAGAAAATCATTGATTGGCTTCCTCCTACCCACCCCTCACTGGGAATGGGGCCAGCAACCTGGCCATGTGCCCTGCGGGGGAATTGAACCAAGACCTCCTTGTTCATGGGTTGATGCTCAAACACTGAGCCACACCAGCCGGGCAGTCATTCTTTAATTATAAGCACCAATGGAAGTCAGCTAGGAAGAGTTTTAACGTCACCAGGAGGGCAGATCTGGGACTCACTATAAGAAAGAACTGTTGAACCATCCGAGATGAGTACTCTATTCCCAGAGTAATGGTTTCTCTTCTCAGTCATCGAAAAGCTAGATGACAATCTGTCACAGGCATGGGGGAGTGGTAGGAAGGATTCCCACCGTGGGTTAGAAGTGACAGTAGATAAGCTCTGAGGAAGCGTGACTACAGCTTTAGCGTTGAGCAGACTCAATTTGAATCTCGGCTCCACCACTTACTCTGTTACTTAATTTCTTAGAACGCCAGCTGTTCTGGAGATAGCATTAGTAACTGCTCATCAAATTGCTGTTAGGATGAAGTGAAATAATGCAAATAAAGCACTCAGTACAGTGACCAGTGCTCCATAAATGTTGGTTGCTATTATTATTCAAAGCACACTTTTAGCTAGAAAAGGCCATAATGTTTTTTCAGGAAAGAGTAGTGACCAGAGCTCTTCTGTTCCCCCCACAATAAGGTAAGCTCTGCGTGGTGACACACTGCACCCTGTTAATCTTCATATCCGGAGCCCGCAGCACGCAGCTGGCACGCCTTCACTCACTCACTAGATTACACTTAATGGAAATATCTGTTTGCATTAGGGAGGAGCAAAGCAACAAATCTCTAGCATCAGTTCTCAACCTGTGGGTTGCGACCCTTTCACAGGGGTCGCCTAAGACCATCGGAAAACACATATATAATTACATGTTGTTTTTGTGATTAGTCACTATGCTTTAATTATGTTCAATTTGTAACAATGAAATTGGGGGTCACCACAACATGAGGAACTGTATTAAAGGGTCGCGGCATTAGGAAGATTGAGAACCACTGCTAGCATCTCCAGAAGCATTTGGCTCACAGGAGATTTAAAAAAGTAACAAATATTACCGGTTCCAAAGCTGATGCGAAGACCTCCCAAAGACTGGTTGGTTAATTTGTAATGGTCTCAGATGGTAAGCTCTATGCAGGCTTCCGTCAGATCTTCAGGCCTGAACCCATCGTACACCATGGTGTGGATGAAGACAGGGTTGCTGGTCTTCCCCACAGCTCTTGTCCTCTGGTGACTTTTCCAACTTGTATCTGGCAGGATGATACTACCAAAGGAAACATGATTGTGAGAGCATTTTAATGAAATAGTGGACACTTGTGCTTTCCATACACTTCAACGTAGCTACTGGTGGAAGGAAGGGAAGGGGAGAGTGTAGAGAAACAGCACTGATGGTGGGAGCCCTCATGCGGGAAAGACGGTGCATTTGAGTGGACCAGACTTGCCTTGAACCCTGACTCTGCCACTCATTGGCTGTGCATTGCAGGGAAAATCAGTTAACCTCAGACACTTGCTTCCTC